CTCTAAATGAAATAATACACAAAATTCCACACAAAGTATCTATGAAAATCTTTTGACACAAAACTCCACAGAAAAAAGACCAATAATCAAGTGCCTCTATGACATTTGGAGTGGGGTAAAACTTACGAGAAATTTCCAACGAGAAAGCTTCGCAAGAAAACTTCCATCATAAAACATCCGCAAAACTCATTAAAACTTTATAATACAAAACGAATCTAAAACCAATCATCAATCCTCTTAACATAAACAAACCAAAGTCTTTTCCAACATAAGGCAACCCATGAAACTATCACATCATGCAAACTCATTAATAATCTACACAAAGAAAACTTTCACGATTCATATAATCAAATTAGTAAGAGAGCACCCAAGTATATATACAGAAAAGAGAACTAGCGGAATGCTCATACCAATGAAATCACTAAGCCATCAATATAATACACTACATGAAGCGCATGCCAAAATTGTCTTTCTTAAATCTACCATGGTTGTGATAATTAAGCAGTATACATAAAAAAAAGAATAAAGTTATACTTTTCCAAAATCAAGTGACAAACCAATATCTCAATCTAATTTGTAGTCATGAGAAAGAAAGCTTGATACTATTTCACTCTTTATAATTTCCCAGGCACGGCTAACATGAAGCAGAGTCACATTTAGATCCATGTAAAGATTCATCTTGCTCCCATAGAGAAGAGAACATGATTGTGAACATAAGTGAATGAGAAATACAACTTAATACCTTTGCAACACATGGATGGAATATTTCAGCAGTTTATAACATTATTACAAGAAAATTCTAACACACAAAACAAACCCTGAGAAAATTTCAGCACTATAGATTGTGGAAAGCAACATTTAAAACCCTCATTCTTGCTCTTAAAGAAGCCGCTCAGATTTTTGCACTCAAACATTTATAAGGAAAACAATGCTTATTCACAAGAATCATCAACAAGATTTTAAAAGGAATGAGCAAGCATTAGTGGATTTTACTTAGTCTTGCCTAAAATGAATGGACACAACGAGCATTGTCATTTCTCCTTGAAGTCAATCAACCCAGCAAAGAGATTCGATATTAAATGAAGCAAAACAAATATTGGCCATTCCAAGTTTCCAAGAGAGCAACGAAAGAAATCATTTTTTTTTTAACCCTAACCCACTAAACATTCAAATGAAAGAGATCAGCTCACATAAAACCTCTCCAAATTCATTAAAATGCTAACGTCCAATTCAACACCACAATGCATGAATCCTTCCTAACATATTTCAAAGAGACACGTTCACAAAGACTACTACAGGGCAAAAATTGGCGTACTGTGATAGACATACTTCAAGTAGTAAGATACTCATCAAAGGAAATGAGTTATTCCAAATATCCTCCCCTTCATCACCTTATGTAACACAAAGCACTAAGATATTTAATACAACATGGATTCAAAGCAGAAAATCTCCCATCATTTTTACTTCTTTTCTTTTGGAGAGAATAAGATCCATCAGCAAGTATTGAATAAAAGAGACATGAATATCCGTTAAGAAAAAAAAAAAATCTCTAACAAGTTTTTTTTTTAATTTTCAATCATCAAGTGCAAAACCACTATTTGCCAAGGATCCAAAAATCAATCATTGTGACATTGTAAAGAAGCTGAACATGCATTTCAAGTTTCCAAGATATATAAAAAAAAAACTGTAAAAGGAGAGCCAAGACTTTCCAATTTAATGAAGCTGAAGTAGATCAAGAGAGGCGGTAAAGTTTCCATATTTCCATTGTAATTGATATTAAGAATGAGAAGCATAAATCAAAACATAGAGTGCTTTCATTTTTTTTTTACTTGTATTTCAACCAATTTTATTTATGAAAGGGGCAATATTGATGGCACAAATGACTTCTAACATAAATTCATAAGTCTATAACATGGAATGTGCCCAATATCAAAGCTTACATACACCTGTGATATTTCCAACATTATTGAAATTCATGATATGCTAGAGCCCGATCTTAAGTATAAGCTTCTCTAAGTGTCAAGCCTCAATGGTCATACTCGCATCGATGTCATTATGAAGAAAGGGTCTTTCGTCCAACAATATAAAACAAAGAAACACGCTTTACAATTGAACTATAAAAAAAAGGTAAAGCCCTTCATCATGATTATAAGCCTATTCGTCATACGACCTCGAACATGCGACATTACAAACATCTATAGAACTCATCAACATAAGAAATCATGTTTTATACCATAACTGAAAGAATATCCATACTTATTCACAAGCTTATTTAACCTCACAACGGTACACTCTTCACCCATTTCACTAAGAACTTTAGAATGAAAGAGACTCTCATTAAACCATAGTCTTTTGAGTCGACTAATTAAAGAATAATCATGACACGTTGAATCGAGTTGTACAATGCAATCTATATGAGTCATGGCCATTCATATCTCATCATAACATTTGTCTAATAACCACAACGCACTACGATCTTTCATAAACAATGTTAATATAAAGATCTTCATAAGACACCATGTGTGGGGCATTCTCAATCCGATTTAGGCAAGAGTGGAAGGTAACAAAATCTCCCCCCAATCTATGTCTAATAACCAAAGAAACCCCCCCTTTTTTTTACCAACAATAATAAGAAAGCTCATAAGATACCATGATTTAAGTAATAAACCCACATTTAGAACAAATTCATAAAACCTTTGCATCAAATATGAGTGTAGTGTCCGAGCATAAGCATATATACGATCTCCCAATATAACCAAAAGCTTTTTACATCGAATCGTCACGAGCGCTATAATCATTAAATCTAACCGACCAACAAACAAGCATTTAAGGTTTGAAAGATTTCTTTTAAACACAGAATGAATTAATTTATCTAATCACTACCATTTTTATCAAGTGTCACATCTATCAGATTACTCTTCTGCTTTAAAAGAAATGGCTAAGGCGAGATATCATTCTCTGTTTTAGAAATGAAGGTTGCCAATGCTCACAAAACCCTTCGTAGAACTACAAAATCTATGAGTCATGACTAAAGTAGAACTTCATTTTGAATCAAAACACAATCATTCTCTCCAATGGCGCCAAGGCTTTCTCCTACTTATACACGATGTTTTAAACCACATGTTGCATGGTACAAATCAAACACAAATTTCTATAACCTCTCTTCTACACAAAAAGAACATAGTTTCAAATGATCCAAATTCTGTCACAGAACATGCTCAAACTCATGGAATCAACTAACCTCCTCTTCCAGGTGAGGTATTCACAAAGAGAAGAGCATCTCAATAATTAAGCTATGAGAATCCAACTCTAACAGTGAAAGGAAAGTTTTACACAACTTCATTTGACAAGCTAGCTACTTAAACCATTTTCGTTCTTGAAGAAGAGGGGAAAGAAGGGAGCAAAGTCAGGGGAAGGAATATGAAATACTGGAGGAAGAAGAATAATAATAGGGGTAAGAAGGGGTATACCTGCTGTTTTGAAGAGGATCGGCAGGCTACGACGAAGGAGGCGAAGCCTAGGTCGTTGGGCTCAGTCCAGAGAAGGCGGCGTCGGAGAGGCTTCGGCGAGAGAGGGGCTTCGGCTCCTCTTGCTTGTGCGGACAGGAAAGAAACGGACAGAGGAGGTCGGTGCTGAGTGATCTCGGGCCTCACGAACCGAGAGAGGGAGAGCCGTTCGGGTGCTTTGCGAACTGAGCGAGGGAGTCCGAGAGGGAGCGAGGGAGAGGAGGGCTGCGGCTTTGTCTAGGTCACCCGAATGCCTGGGCTTCGTAGGCGAGAGATTGAGAGAGGGACAGAGGGTGTGGGGGAGGTAGCGAGGAGAACGGAGCTCGGCTCGTCTGGGATTTTGCGAAACCGAGAGAGCAAGGGGGGTTTCGGCCTGGCTCCGTGCGAACAGAGAGGGTCGGGAGAGAGGGAGAGCGGCGTGAGTGATCCATGCGTTTTGGCCTCGGTTAGGGCACTAGAAGGAGAGCAGGGAGATCGGGGCCGTCGGATCAAAGAAAACAAATTTTTTAACGGTGTGATTCAAATTGGTTTAGAAAGTCATTCCAAACCTAGACTAGGATTTAACTACACCTAAGAGATTGAAATCATGTTCAAATTGAGTCAAGTTTGGTTCAATCCGGGTCAACTCGAGCTCGCCTCGACTCGACCAAAATTAATTCAATAAAATGGAATAAAATTTGAAATCAAACTCGAATCAATGCCGATTCAAATTGAATCGAGCTCAACGAGGCTTGATCAACACGACCAAACACAATCAAGGGCAAATCAGGACAAAAATGAGGTCAACAGTCTCGAGCAAAATGCTTCATGGCGTATGCCTAATTAGAAAAAGGAAAAAGCCTTACTAGTAACAATGAGGTTTAAGCTTTGAGGTATGTTTTTGTGTGCCTTAGTTTGAGGTGAGCCTCAAATGCTCTTTTAAATAATGGATAATATGAAATCCCACTTCAGTCACCTAATACTAAACCAATTTGAATCTCCCTCTGCGTCCTACCATTATTCAAAAGTTTCAAAGATCATACAATGAGCATAGTACAAATAAATATTTTATTTTATATGAAAAAAATATTCAAATGACCCGGCAGAACAAAGAATTTCTGAACCAAACTCAAAGTTTTACCCTAGTCCTGATACCTCTTTGCACGAACAACATAATACTTGTTCTATTACAGGATGGCGGATAGCTATGGGTTGTTAAAAAAAAGACGAGACTTGTTGAATTCTTGCAACATTATTGGAAGGGAAAAGAAGCTAGCAATTTAAAACGTGTTTAGCTAATATTCAAGAAGTTCCGATCAGATAACACTTCTTAATCCAATAAAGCTTTTAATCTTGTTGTGCTTTTTCCAAATCGTTTACTTATTTAATTTCTCTCTTGTTGAAGCAATAAAATAAACCATTCCTTTCTTCTTGTCAACTGCATGTTGTTTCAAAAAAAAAAAAAAAAAAAAAAAAAGAGTAATGTCTGCAAATCTGTTTGTTCAGCTACCATGGAATACAAGAGGTGCTCATTCGGGGTGGTTACGGGTGAAGTCTTTAACGCCAATTGAAGTGGTGTAGCAGTCAAGAAAATGCCAATGACTAGCTATCGCATGGCGAATTGTAATTGATATAGCTCTTCACATTACCAAAAGCCTGAAAGAAAGAGACCTAAGTTAAGCATTGAAAGAAGTGTAACTCTACTCCAGCCTTTGTTTACCGTTCCTTTCATTAGATGAGTGAGTAGTCTTTCGCCGGCACAGATTTCTCTATTGTCCTGCAATATCATCCGAGTTGAGTTTGTTGAAGCTACCACCATATTTTCCCAGGACATATATATTTTTGCTACTCTTGCTAGACAAAGACTAACTTTTAGTGTTGTTGAAGGGCTCACTGACTGGGAAGAGAGACTATGTTGATGTTGGCGTCACAGGGAATTATACCTTATTGACTTTGATACCATCTTGAAAATTAAAACGAGAAAAGATGAGACTAAAAAAATGAGGGATTTTATTATTGAATTTAATTCTCATGTTATGCATGAAAAAAATATAAGCTATACATGAATAAGCAGAGAAGAAAAAACTATATAGGAAAAAAATAAATAGAGAAACCAAACGTTAATTATGGAATTCAATATTAACTATCCATAAGAAATAAAATGTTATTGATAATGGATTGTTGAAATATTATAGGTGGAAAGTTGTTGTAGATGGAAAGCCATTATCTTAAGTTGCTGGATTGATGTAGCAGGAAGATTTTTGCCATGGATTTAGAATGATTTCATTAATATTATTGATGTATTCTTGGTCGTTTACTATACTTCAAGGGTTTCTTTTGTACTCTCTAAACAAATATGCCATGATATGAATTTTGGGATCATCCTTGAAAAGCATCACAACTAAAAAAGATACCCAGAGGAGACCTAATTGATTTATAATCTTGTATAACTGAAAAAATACTGGTATTCGAAGTCCAAACTGATTAAAGTTGGTTATTATCAATTTAAAGCAATTTTTTTAATGCTCCAATATGATGTATGGTTTTAATAAATTGACAGGCAGTAGGTATGAACACTCGGAAACTAATAAAATTAGTGATATCATTGCAAGTAGTTTGTTTGTTTCCCCAGCTTTGTTTACATTGTTTGGTGATGTGATCATTGAAGTTTTAGGCTTTTTAACAACTCAGTCTTTCTTTCTAGGCATTCTTCCTAACAAAATTATCATATGGGCCTTTATGCTTCGGTAGACTACAGTCTACATTCATTGATTCTTCTCACTTGCACTGTACTTTTCTGAAATACTGGGATCCATTCTAAAGTGGTTTGATCCTTTTCAGCCAAAATCAACATAGCTTTAGTGGTGGAGCATTTTATTCTCTTAGTTGCTTCTGCAAATAAATTCTTGCACTCTTGTTCACGGGAATATCAACTGCTTTTTAATTCATGCGTTCCTTCAACTATACTTTTGACTGAGTAAAATCTTCTTTAACAGTTGCTAAGAAATGTCCATCCTATAATAAATTTGTAGTTGTTGGAAGAGTTAGATGCAAAGAAGAATTGTGAAGCACGGATGCAGGAGGAACTGGAGAGGCTTAAAGCTTCTTTGCAATCTGAGAAGGAGAAGTTGCAAGAAATCATTAATGAGCGTGATAAACTTAAAACTCTGTATAATGAAAAGTTGTTTGCATTGCAGGTATATCTTCCGCATTTAATTGTTCTAATACTGGGTAAAAATTTTCTGTTTTAACGCGCTGCAATATATCCGTTTGTTTTGTTCTATATTTCGTTATTTACTTAACTATTAATATATTTTACAGGCTGCATTAGCTGATAAACGAACTATTGAAGCCAAATTTCCTAAGTTAGACTCACCCGAACATCTATCTTTGGAAAATCATGCTAGAATGGAAAGCATGCTTGCATTTGGAATTGGAGATGGCGGAGAAAATGTTTCTATAAGAAATAGTGTAAATAATTCTCAGGTGTGTTGATAAGGGCTTATTTGTTTTAACTTTAAGTTTTTTTTTTTTAATTAGGTTTTATTATTATTATTATTATTTTTTAAATGTTCTTTGTTTTTTTGGCTGGCTTTTAAATAGGGGTAGGATGGTAATTTATTTCTTCTTTAAATCCTTGGTTTTCTATAAATACTATTGTTCATTAGAGAGGAGTTTTTTTGGAGTTTTGATTTCAGTTATGAAAATCTGAGAGCAAGGGAAAGATCCCATTCCTTGGAGTGGATTTCCCCAAAAGCTTGAGAAAATAAGGGTGAGGGTTTGTAGTGGAGTATTGGACTTCACCAACATCATTCTCCCACCACTATCTTGGCTCTCCTTTACCGGCATTTGCTTCTTCCCAACCAACAGCAGCCACCAAACCATCTTCGAACCACCAGACAGCCTGTTGGGTTGGAATTTCCCTTAGGCAAAGCATCAAGAAAGCTGCTGGCGAGCCGTTCCCAGCCTTTCTTGGTCTTTTAGCTGGCTGGGTTAATATCCTTTTATGGACGATTCATAAAAAATTTCATTTCAATAGCTGCCCCATTAACAAAAATTCTTAAGGGAGATAAATTTAATTGGACACCTGCCGCTCAAGCTAGCTTTGAAGAACTTACGCAAAGAGTAACCCATGCCCCTGTCCTTGTCCTTCCAAATTTGTACTCTGTGTTTAATGTTGTCTGTGATGCCTCGAATATAGATATTGGAGTTATTTTACGTCAGAATAGCAATCCCATTGCCTATTTTAGTGAGAAATTGAATGATATTAGGCGTAAATACTCCACCTATGACAAATAATTCTACGCCATAGTGCGCGCTCTTGAGCATTGGAATCTTTTTCTTCTAACCAATAAATTTGTCCTATATTCAAATCACGAAGCATTAAAATATCTTCATAATCAAAATGAATTAAAGGGAAGACATGCTAGGTGGGCAAAATTTTTATCTTCTTTCCATTATATCTTCAAACATGAATCTGGTGTCCAAAACAAGGTGGCTGATGCATTGAATCAACTTTATACCCTTCTTTGTCTCCTACAGGCCAAAATCATAGGGTTTGAAGCTATCACTAAACTTTATCTTGAAGATTCAGATTTTGAGAATAAATGAAAACTATGCCAAATGAATCTTATAAGTTCTATCATATACAGGACGTTTATCTTTTTGTTCATAATCAATTGTGTATCCCTCGTTGTTCGTTAAGAGAAGCCATTTTATTAGAATGTCATGAAGGAGTAGGAGGATATTTTGGTTGAGACAAAACAATGATCTTAATACGAGAATATTTTTATTGGCCTTATATTCAGCAATGAGACTTATCCTTAGCACATGTTGAGTTTTCTTTTAACCGATCTATCAATCAAACAACGGGAAAAGCCCTTTCGAAATTGTATATGGTCAAAACCTCATTATACCTTTAGATTTGTCACCCGTAATTAGCACTTCGGGATGTAATATTGATCGTGAATGACATACTGAGGAAATAAAAAAAGATTACATCATCGTGTCAATGACATGATCACTAAGAAAAATGCTCAATATAAAAAACAAGCCAATAAATCTTGTATTTCAACTTCCTTTAAAGAGGGGGATCGAGTTTGGATACATTTACGAGAAGTTCGATTTCCTCCAGGAGCTTTTGCTAAACTAAGACAAAAAATTGATGGATCTTTCAAAATAGTCAAGCGTATAGGTGAAAATGCTTACAAAATTGAATTATCGAGAGATATGAATATTTCTCAACCAATAATGTATCATACCTCTCAGCCTACTATGACTCGGATCAAGATCTAAATATTGAGGACGAGTCTTCTCATACCCAGGAAGCTTGATAACGGTTTATTTGTTTTAACTTTAAGTATATTTTTATTGTTTTTTTTTAATTTTCTTGGTTTTATTGGCTGACATTTAAATAGGGATTGGATGGTAATTTATTGCTTCTTTAAATCTTTGGCTTTCTATAAAATATCTATTGTTCATTGGAGAGAAGTTTTTTGTAGTTTTGATTTCAGATTTGAAAATCTGAGAGGGAGGGAAAGATCCCATTCCTTGCGGTTGATTTCCCCTAAAGCTTGAGAGAAGACGGTTGAGGGTTTGCAGCGAAGTCTTGGGACTTCACCAACATCATTCTCCCACCAATACCTTGGCCTTCCTTTACTGACATTTGCGTCTTCCCAACCAACAGCAGCCAATCTCCTTGGAACCACCGTACAGCCTGCTTGGTTGAAATTTCCGTCAGGCTGTTGGCGAGCCAATCCCAGCCTTTCTTTTTCTTTAAGCCGGCTGGGTTTGTTTCCAGAGGCAGTAGATCGCTAGTAGCACTAGAAATTCCAAGCTGCTAGTTGTTCTCAACTTGATTGCTCTGATTGTGTTACCGCTCACACCAGGAGAGGCCATCAGCACAATTCTTTTATATCGCCAACATTTATACAAGGTTCCAGGCAGCCCCAGCTGAGTTTCACGGATCCTACTAGGTTCTATGTTGTCATTATTTTTCAATTGCTGCTGAATTTTACTTATCATAAGTAGTTATCTACTTGATTTCCTTGCTGTTCCTGTACAAGAACCGAAATCTAGGCAACAAGAATTCAATATGGGATTTTCTCAGGTTCTGCTCAGTCACCAAAAGTTCCATGTGGAGTCTAAACAGGGATCCAATACTAGGAAGTGTTGGAGAATTTTTGTATCCTCAAATGAATTGCATACTTTATGATTGAGTATGACATAAGAATGATGATATAATATCCCGAAGGATAAAAATATCATTTCCTTATGTACTCAATGATAAAATTTATAATTTTTTTAACAGAGATTCCCCCACTCTATGTTTGGTCGGGTGAGGTTTATTTATTTCTGTGGTACAGACGTCCCATAGGGGCAAGCCCCTATGGTTAATTATATCCCAAGCTTTGGTTTGGGAAAACTTTTGATTAAACTAGTGATTTTCTTGTTTTCTTTTTGAAGTCATTTAAATGTTGGCTAAAATTTGATTTTTGAAATCCATGAAAGTCTTACTTAAAGGATTTTGGCCTCTAGGAGATTCAAGGAAGAATTGATCAACTTGAGATTAGAATTTGAAATGAGGGCCAAGGAGGTGAAGTAGGAGCACTTGATTCTGAGGAAAACTCAGAGGTGCTCAAACTATCCTATGTTGGGTTTTACATTTTTGAACTCCAATTTTGTTTAAGTTAATTATTTTGATTAGAAAGTTGGGGCTTCCATTCCAACAACATATGTTAAAGGAATTGTCCGAAAGGTGAGGGCTTATATATAGTGATTTGAAATCAACTATTGCCTCAGACCCTAAAACTAAGGTGAGGATTACCGATAGATAGTGTCTCGAACTTAAGTCTAACGAATGCAAAATGGACTTATAAGCTGCACATCATATGAGGCATAACTTGCCCGACTTTTAGATTTACTTTCCCGTTTGGAAGGGACTACCAACTAGACCCACATAATCGATTTTAAAACCATGTCGTCTGGTCTTTATGTTAATGTAGAGTGGAGGACTATTTTTATTTAGGAAGTAGGGCTTACAATTTAGCTTTGAGGCCAAAATGCCTATGTATGTAGGTATGCACATGCTAACTCATAAAAAAAATAGATTTTTGTTATTTAGTCCTTAAATGAGGGCTTTCTATATGCAACATATTTGGGCTATGCATGTTTATTTTCAATTTTGGGAAACTTGGCTTCTTGAAGGGAGCCATGCAATTTTCTTATGTAGAAAACATGAAGCATAATTTTATTTTTTAGATTGTTTACATTTTTAATGGGTAGAAAACTTATTTTTGTCCTAAGAGCCTACTGCATCAAACAGTCTAGGCCACAACCAAGCAAAAGTAAGAAAAGAAACCAAGGAAAAAGCATGATTTTCTATTGTGCAATCAGATAAACATCAAACATACTTTTACATATAAATAAAGTGCAATAAATGTAAATATAGTCCAAGTTATTACAAACAGGTTTGACAGCTGAGTTGCTTGCCATTATACAACCCAGTCAAATTATTACAGACTCTACTTGTGGGGTCTTCAAGCTT